TTCATCTTCAAAACCAGCAGATTCAACTGTGAGATTCAGATCAACTCAAAGATGGAGTTCCTCCCCAAAGAACAATGTCAGAAAGTTATATTCTTGCATATTATTTTGCTTCATGATATAAATGATATCATTGTGCTTTCTTATGAGTTTCATATTATGTTCAATTGTCTTATAATGCATATGTATCACTTGTAGTTTGCTTACTCTTTCAAGAAGGTAAGTAGAAGTTTTTAGAAACTGTTCTTGTTCAGGAAGCTGAAGAAGAGACTAACACTTTTAAGAGAGACCAAGATTTAATTACAGTTTTGTTCTTCATTGTTGTTCTTAAAACAAATTGTTATTCTTACACTTATGTATTTAGGAAACACAGAGGCAGGACATACTGTCATGTAGATTTGTAACTTGATTCTTCTGTGCTTCTCTTGTAAGTAGGGGATGGTACCTGAAACCGGTATTAAACGAGCTCTGGGGCTAAATTATGAAAGACTAGTATTCATAAGCTCTGATATTATCGGTTCTACTTTCGGTACTGGACAAATTAAGAAAATACTCTTAGTACTTATTATTGCTACATAAACATTATCAAGATCATTGTATCTTGCCAATAATTTTCATTATTCTTGCACGTCTGTGCTATTATTAATCTAATAAAATTTTCAATTTTGAGTTTGGCTTCCAATGATTATAAAGACAATATGTTTGAGGTAAAGCAATCTGATGTGTTGGTATATTGGATCCGTGCATTAGTTCTTAAAATTACATAAACCTGTAGTTTATTACTGTTATTAAATATAACAGTAATAAACTACAGGTTTATGTCATTTTTGTTCAAACATTTGCTATAGTCTTTGCTATAGATTTTTACATTTCAGAATATGAGGCCTTTTTTTTTTTTTCTGTAGAAAAAAAAAAGAATCCCAGACTTATGAGCAGTATCGTGAGAATAGTAATACCGTTAAAACCTTAATGATACCCATCCCTTCTTGTCAGTAGAAAAGAGAGATCCATCTCATTAGTTTTCACTTTTACTTTCTGTAATTATTGATCACTTTTGCTGTGAGTAATTATTGATTAAATGTTAACTTTTTATTAATACATTATCTTTACTTTTTATATTTTATCAATAACTTTTATTGTCTGCTATAATTATATTTGCATTAGGAAAATATTTGCTTTTGGGGCTTTCTGTTTTAAATTTCTCAAAGCCATTGAATTTAATTGGATTGAACTGAAAGCCTTTATTGTCATTGTATTTTTCTGCAATAAAATTAGTAGCACTGTTCCTGACTGGTGTTAGAAAACAAACATATAACCACAGACAATACATGAGACTATTGACTGTACAGTAGAATTATAAAAGTATATGGGTCATTCTATAATTGGCAGTATATTTGGAATTTGACAATGTGAAGAAAAAAAGTTTTCCTTTTTTTCCCAAAAACGCAAACATGACCTTAAAAAAAAACACTTAAAATCAAGTACTTATTCTATTAGCCAAGCTTAGGGTTACCTGGTTTCGAGATTTATTTATTTTTTATTCAAAGAGCAGATGTTAGATATAGACCTGCCAACCTGTACACATTTTGACCTTAAAGGGATCATATGACGTTGCTAAAAAGAACATTATTTTGTGTATTTGGTGTAATGCAATGTGTTTATGCGGTTTAAGGTTCAAAAAACACATTATTTTCCACATACTGTACATTATTGTTTCTCCTCTATGCCCCGCCTTTCTGAAACGCTCATGGTCTGAAAAGCGAGGTGTGCTCTGATTGGACAGCTATC